CTGCATGAAATAGCGTTTAAATCAATATAATGGCATTTATCAAAAAAATTTGCCATCCATTTTAACCTAGTAATTTTAGACTCCGACCACTTAATGAACGCGCCAATAGATTTTTAAAATTATTTATTTATATTATATGTTTAACAATTTGTATATTCTGTGTAGACAGAACTGGTAACTTACTTAAATTTTGTTAGATAATGTTTATTTCAATAAGACTAACAATGAATCTTAGCTTAAATTATATTAACTATAAAGTTATAATAACTTTAAAGATTTTATTTCTATAATAAACATTAAATATTAGAATCTACAATTACCTAATAATTGAAATATAATAAAATTACATTATTAATTTAATATAAAGGCTAATAAACAAACGGCAGTTAGCGATTCATAAATTCATCAATGTTTAAATATTAGTAATGTTTTGAGTTATAGATATTAATAATTAAACATTTGTGAATTTATGAATCGCTTACTGCCGTTTGTTTATAAGCCATTCATATGATTAATATACTGGTATTAATAGTTGTAAAAATTGTCTGTGACATTTTGAATAACATTTTTATTGCCAAGTTTATTTAGGTTACTGCTGTCCAAAAAGGAGGAAACAAGTGGGGGAAAGCCAGCTGGATCGTTTGACACGGGTATAAAATTTACCGTATTTACAATCGCCAACGATTTTGCGCTAACCCGGATCAATTCAGACGAGTTTAACGGACAAACACTAATCGGATTAGAAATATCCAATTGCCCAGCGATTGATAATGGTCCAAATGACACAGAAATATTTGCCATGATTAACAAACAACAAATGTTAAAATGGGTATACCTTAGCGATTGTAATCTAGCTACAATACCGGCACACGCATTTACCAATTTAAAGTACCTTGAGTATATTACGCTTAAAGGGAACTCGATCAAATCAATTGGCGCGAGGCCATTTTTAATGTTGCCCAGGGTGAAAACAGTTTACATATGGCTCACATCAATAGCTACAATACAAAGCAATGTATTAGTGTTTAACACAACAGCATCGGAATTGAGAGTTCATTTTTACGATAACCCCAGTATTAATAGCGCCAGTTTTGAGCAAGGTGCCCTGATAAATTTTGGTCATAGTAAAGTTACGTTATATTTGAAAATGGTCAATAATAAGCATCAATGGGCGTATTTGGATGAGGGTGTTTTTTGGCCATTTTTTTGCTTTAAATAATAATAACAAGGTTTATATATACCGATTGACTATTGATTGTCACAACAAACAAAACGAATGGCTAAAACGGGAGCCAATAATTGCTGGTCATTTGTACCAGGATGACTCGCATAATCATTTGCTCAGACACGTTGAATGGCAGCACCCCAATTGCAGTGGGGTGGTTTAAAAAATATTTTTTACCAAATAAATAAATATTTATTTTGAACAATAAGCTTGGTTACACACATTGCTTAAATTAGCATAATTATTTTTTTGAATAAATTGTAATTAATCTAGCATTTATACATTGTTTTTAACGTAACAATGTCCAACGGACTCATTACTTTCATACGTGTAATATCGTTTGTAGGTGCATGCTTGGATACTAAAGTAGTTGCATTATTTTTGCTAAATGCTTTCTTCCCATAGAGCATGATGGAACTATAATCAAACTTAGTGTACATTTTGAACATTGGCATGGTCTTTTTCTGAAAAGGTTTTTCTTTGCCTGGTTTGATGTTGGCCCAAATAACCTCCACATAACTATCTCGGTCAGGTCTTGAATGTTCATGTTTAAAACCCAGCGCGTGTAACAGCTCGTGGATTATTGTTCGTCCGAAACAATTGGGGGCTAATTGTAGGTCTTGTTTACCGCCAATTCGACCAACCATTGAATAACACCTAGGTCAAAAATAATTTGTATTGAATTATAATTTTAATTATTTAAATAAACTTAATAAATGCTGTAACCATGTGCCCACAAATGACATGGACTAATATTATTTTTATTTGATTTGCTTGCAAACATGCTTGCCCTTAAATTATCCATCTATTTAATTATTAAATTGAACATGATAATCTAAAACATACATACTTATCACCTGCGTGAACATAAATATAATCCGCTTCATTTGATCTAGTTTTAAATTTAATGCATGGATTGTTCTTGCTAATTCCAGACATTGCATTAATTATGTTAGTTTTTTTACTAGCTGAACAATTAATTATAAATTATTTGCCTAATTAATATTAGTAATTAAATTTTGTTACAGTACCCAACAAATTGTCAATTACATAGTAAACGGTCCCATTTGGCCAAAGCTTTTTTAGACCTTGTTTTAAACCAAAACCTCTTTTGACTCTCATATTAAATGGATGTCCATTTAAATTGTTTATAAACGTGATAATATATACTATTTTCAAAATTGTAAAATACACATACATGGTTGGAAATTTGAAGTAATCTAATTGTTTTTTATTTTTAATATTTAGTATAATTGACATTTTAATTAATCATGTTAAATTAAAAAATAATAATTAGTATTAATTGTTTGTATTGTGAAATAAAGTCTTTGTTGTCTTTTATATTTTAGATTATGTATACAATATTGATATTATATATTAAATAATACAATGAAAATAATACCAGTATAACACATTGTAGTACTGTATAATGATTATACTAATGATCTATTTGTTATTTCCAAACCAACTGAGCAAATAATGAATTGATTGAACAATATAATTTAGCCTGCTTATCTTTTGTTATATAAACCAGATTTAAAAAATAAATAGCTGAAATCAATTTACTAAATAATTATTAACATACTAGTACAGATATTTTTAACATAATATTGAATATGTTTGACAATAATAGTTGTGAAGTAATTAATGTTCCCTAATTGTAATCACGTGTATTTTCAAAAATAATTTTACGATTTATAATTAATAAATTAACAAAGTAACTTTTTAAATAAATTATAATTAATCTAGCATTTATACATAGCTTTTAACGTAAATATATCAAGCGTGCTCATTATTCTCATATATTTAATATCGTTTGTAGGTGCTTGCTTAGATATTAGAGTAGTTGCATTATTTTTGCCAAATGATGTTTTCCCATAGAGCATGATGGAAGTATAATCAAACTTAGTGTACACTTTGTACATTGACATGGTCTTTTTCTCAAAATTATGTTCGGTGCCTGGTTTGACGTTTGACATAATGACCTGCACGTAATCATCTCGGTCAGGTCGAGAATGTTCATGGTTAAAACCCAGCGCGTGTAACAACTCGTGGGTTACTTTTCGTCCTATGAAACAATTGGGCGCTAATTGTAGATCTTGTTTACCACCAATTCGGCCAATTTTTGATTGACATCTAGAATAGAAATAATTTATGTTGTAATTGTATTTATTTTCAAAAATTAACAAATTAAACAAATTACACTGAATAAACTTAAAGACCAGCTGCACAAAGTGATTGTGGTAGTAAGTTTGTATTTTAAAAAGACATTTATGCACTTTATAAAGATGATTGTTTTAAAATAATTTAGCTATTCAATTAAAAAAATTAAATATGGTCATTTAAAAAATGCATACTTATCGCCTGTGTGAATATAAACATAATCCGCTTCATTTGATCTAGCTTTAAATTTTACGCAATGATTTTTCTTGCTAATGCCAGACATCGCATTTATAATTTTAGTTTTATTTTTAGCTGTATATTTAATTAGAAATTATTTGCCTGGTTAATATTACAAATCTAAATGTGTTGCATTACCTAATGAATCGTCGATTACATAGTAAACGGTCCCATTTGGCCAAAGTCTCTTTTGACCGTGTTTTACACCAAAACCTCTCTTAACCCTCATATTAAATGGATTTCCATTTAAATAAGTATTAAACATGGTAATAAATACTATAATCAAAATGGTAAAATTCGTATACATTATTAGAACTAATAACAATTTAGATTTTTAATAATTTTAAATATTTTTGAAAATTAATTGTAAATAGTATTCTAAATTATTAACATTTTAACTGATCATATGATATTACAAAATGATAATCAGTATCAATTATGTGCTTTGTACAATAAAATGTTTATTGTTATCTATTATTCATATTTGTGTATTCAATGGTATTGTCAATTCATTATTATATTATATAATGAAGATAACATCAGTATAAGTTATATATAAAGCTTCCATTTTCCGGGACTACAAACATCCAAATTCGGGAATTAAAAGACCAAAATCGGGAAAATTCGGGAAATACGATTTTACTCAATTATAACACAATCATTATACATATAAATCATTTAGAAATGAATCATATTTGATAATGACATGAAGTTTGAGCATTTTTCAGACTTCTATCTCTAAAAATAATCTTAAACTGAGAGAAAGAACGCTAGACTTAGACGGAGATAATCAATATATATTTTGTAAGACAACTTGTGAATTACAAAACATGTTTTAATTTCAGTTATATTCAGTTTAGAATTTTATTAAGAATTTTGGTGAAATATTAAATCAAATCAAATCATATTTTATTTAGAGAGTCAATCATATATTATAGTTATTAAATAAATAATTTTCGTTGAAAAATATCTTAATTCGGGAATATTTGCCATTAAAATAGACTTTTCGGGAATTTTCTCAATAATATGCTAAAATCGGGAATTCCCGAATTAAATAGTTAACAAAATCATCGGGAATTATATACCATAATAATAGACCAAAAATATATAAGTTTTATTTTAGGGAAAAATCGGGAAAATAAAACTTATATATTTTTGGTCTATTATTATGGTATATAATTCCCGATGATTTTGTTAACTATTTAATTCGGGAATTCCCGAAATTTAGAAGCCTTAGTTATATATTATAAATTTACTTTATAACATATTAGACAAATCTATTTGATTTGCAATTTTCAAACCACTAAACAAATAATGAATTGATTGATCAATATAATTTAGCATGTTTATTATTTTGCCATATACGTCAGAATTTAAAAACACATAAATATCAAATAAATAAAATTTATTGAATAAATATTAAACAAATACATACTAACATATTAACTACATACTAGTACGGATACATTTAACGTAATATTAAACATGTTTGGCAATATAAGTGGTACAACAATTAATGTTTTTTAGTTGCAACCTCATGTATTTTCAAAAATAATATCACAATCATTGAGATAATCTATAAATATAAATACAATAAATATGCTTTTAGCAAAATTAAATCACTTACTTCATATCCCCTAAAATTATTAATAATAAATAATTTCCAACAATTAAATCCAACATTTTTACCACATATTTGTTCCATCAAATTATTCACCTAATCCAAATAATTGTATCCCATTAAATAAAATAGAAATATATAAACAAAATTACTTTAAACTTTAGGGCTAAGGATTTACGTCTAGACGAAAATAAATAACGGTTTAATAGCTTGTAGGTTACAAACGGCTCTTTATAAACGTGATTAGATATGGTAATAATAAATGACATCATTATTAAATACATTACTAGATAAAGTGCAAGTATGATCCTAATAATTAGATTGGCCATGGTGCCTAAAAATGCCATGTATGCCAGCATTATTAAAACAGTTATTACTAAAGTTAGATAATAAATAAGTCATTCAAAAGTTATCCCATATTGTTGTCCGTCGATTGTAAGGTCTGATAGCGTTGGCACATCCAATACTTGGCCGCCCGAACGCATACACCATACCAGAGGTCTGAAAGTATAAGCCCAGTACGTGAGTAGCCGTACACAAGTATACAACATAGCTAGGCGTCGAGCATACCATATATGTGCGGAGCGAAAGCCACACAAAGAGCTACACCGGATTCAAGCATATAATACACTCAATCATTGACCCGTACAACAGTTACTACGTGTGAGTAACCTGTTGTCCGTTAACAGACCCACACATTCACACACAGTTAAGGGGAGTCAACTCAAGTGTTTCCCGTCGGGACATACCGTTCCCCTAACAATATTAATAATACAAATAAATAATACAACGTTAATCTTACCGAAAGTGTTAATATAAAAGGTTTTGAAACGCGTCCCTCAAATGAACATAAATAACCATTTAATAGTTTATAAGTTGGCCAAAAATGCTTATTTCCAAAGTGATCCAATGTTCATATTTAGTCTAATTATTTTTATTATATAATTACATCTATTACGAAAAAAACCATCGAGATAAAAACCATCGAGATAAAAACCATCGAGTTAAAAACCATTGAGATAAAAACCATCGAGTTAAAAACCATCGAGATAAAACCAAAATTGAAAATTTCTTAATTAGTACTTTATTTAGTACAAATAAACGAGTACTAAAATGACTATTTTCGCTTATAATTGTGTAAATTATAATCTGGATCATTACGAATGTATTGTATATGATAAAATATACCAATACTATTGTAATTATCACTGTATTACGTTAATTAAAAAAGCCCATTTAGAATCTAGGTATAAAATGCAATATAAAGTACCTTTACCTCAATTATTGTTAGATTAACTGTTATCATAATTATTGTATATTTTATATAATCTGTCTACAATATAATACCAATGCAAATGATTATACGTTATGTTATTAGGATAACATCATAGTCAATAAACGTCATACAACTGAATAAACAACAAACCAAATTATTTACATAAAGATCAATCACTTTAATTGTATTCTGTATGACAATTAATGCAACATAAAAAATTTATGATATTTGAATTAATTAAAAAAATAGTTTCAATAAAATATAATAACGTGTACACAATGTTTCAAATTTTGTTTATTACATTATTATGGTTAATTTACAATATTCAATGTATGCAAAAGATCGAGGTAATACAGTGTTCATACACTAAACAATTAAAGCCATGCGAGTGTAACAATGATACCCATAGGAGACGTATTGAATGGCTGTGCGATGGGTCAGAAATAAGTGATCTAGCTTATATAATGTCAACAATCAACAGAAACATCCCTGATCATCCAAAACACATTAATCTACTACATTTAGACGAGACGAATCTTACAATTATTAAATCAAACACGTTCACCAATATAAAGTTTAATGAGTTGGCCATTAAAAATAACCTACATTTGCGTTTGATTGAACATGATGCTTTCGAAAATCAGCCATTGGTATCTTTTAGTATATTTAACTGCCCATCAATTGAACACAGAACAGATGGCAACACTACGGGCACCGATTTATTTGGCATTATAAATCAATTTAAATTTCTCTGGCGCGTTTATCTAAGCAACTGTAACCTAGTTACAATACCGGCAAACGCATTTGGCCACCTTGCTCAACTGGAATCTATTACATTAACTGGAAATTCAATTAAAAGTATTGGTTCAAAAGCATTTTATTTATTACCTAAATTGACCTATCTCGATATTACATACACATCAATAGCCACTATACTATACGGTGCGTTTGAATTCAACTCGACTAATACAGAGTTGCTTGTTCATTTATCTGATAACACATTTCAGAGTAATAAAAGTTTTGAGCATGGTGCCCTGGCCAATTTGGGCGTAAAAACTATCATCCGCATTCATTGTAATGAACTGGATTATCAAGCATGGTCCTATTTTGAACAAGATCACTTTAGGCCTTATTTTACAAGTAATGCATATAATGAATTACATGTGCATGGTAGTACCATGATGGTACAAGATTTAATTGTAATCACAGTGAAAACGCGTGGCTTAAAAATGAGACACATTTTATGAACCGGATATTTATAAGAAAATCTTATAGCGATATGAATTATGCATATGATAAAAAGTCTGTTACTTGTTAGTTAAATTATTATTTTCTAGTTAACCAAATAATTATTAAAAGTTAATTACACAATACAAAATTTTTACTTATATTGTACAATAATTTAATAAATTGATTTAAAATTATTCATTAAATGTTTAAAACTATTTTTTATTGTTGGAATTAATTCATAAATTATTATATGGCACCTGACCATTTTGGGGGTGGTACCTCTACACACCTATATTAATTATACATGTATAAACTGGTCACCTGTCGACCCGCTTGGAGGCCTCTATGTCATCGTTGATTTTTAATTGGTATATAATTTATAACTTAGCAAGTTTAAAACTAATTAGTTCTTGGAATTAACTCATAAATTATTACATGGCAAATGACCATTTTGGGAGTGGTACCTCTACACACCTATATCTATTTATACATGTATAGACTGGTCACCTGTCGACCCGCTTGGAGGCCTCGATGTCATCGTTGATTTTAAATTGGTATATAATTTATAACTTAGCAAGTTTAAAACTAATTAGTTCTTGGAATTAATT